ATCTCATTCTCTTATCGAGGTAGTTGTGTTCGGATATATTCAATTTCGTATACATATTGTTTACTGATGACATTACTCAAATGCCAAGGAAGATACAAACAACATGCTTTGGATGTGATAAAGCTATTGACGCTCACTCAGATAGTGGTTGTTCCAATGAGCTTTTTTGTCTTTTCGTGTCGAGTCGTTCAATCGAGAGAATTTCAACGTCGAAAATGTCGGTGGAAGTTTGACAATTGAATGAAACATTTGAAAGATGACGAATAAGAAAACTTATTTAAATATTTCATGAAAATAATGGAAGACGGCACCTGAGTCCCTGTGCATTCTATCAAGATGCTATAAGTACTAGACATGCGTCGGTTACTGGCAACTATCCACGGTATTTACCACTACAATTACTGATGATCATCCGCATCCTAAACCAGTTATTGGTGGTGAAGACATTCAAATTGCTTTTTTTAATTTTTTTCTGAGATCAGACTTTTGTTCTGACGAACTACTAAAATACACAAAAGAAAGGAATATTCGAGTTTGCTTTTATTTATTTTTGAAAAACAAACATCTAGTTATCCCGTTTTCTGTTGCTTTGTGTATTTTTTGCGATTTGTCAAAACTGAGGGCGTAAGTTTGTGGTGGTGAAAAGAAGACGCATATCCACGCTCCGAACCCTATATCCAGATCTAACTATCTTTCTTCTTAATTAAAATGATGTAATCTTCATAGAATTACAGACTTCTATTGAATGTATGACAAAAAGCATTCACATTGCAATATTGTTTGTGTATAATACCAAAAGTACAACAGATTATATCATTTTATCAAGAGTAGCAAATCTCTTATATAGGAACTATTCAAGAAAAAGTGTTGGGCACGATCGAATAATTTAAAATTAGAAAAGATTCTCAGTATAACAGAAGTTGAGAGGCAAAAAAATAATGATTGAAGTAATTCAAATCAATCCTATTTTTCTGTTACACAATTTCAATATATAACTTTGGTCATTTTCATAGAAAATTTCAAAAATTTGAAAAAACACTCATTAAACAGGTGCTCTTCGATTGATTGATGTTTTTCTTCATAGTGCGTGTATCACTTGTCGTTGGTAAATTTTCTTAAAAGCCATTAATACGAATAATGATTGCTAGACGCTGTAAAATACATAAACGACTTGTGTGTGCATGAGGATGTATAGATTTGTTCAACCACATTCCACACACCCGCACTCTTTAGTTGTAAGTGTTCAATGAACATCTTGTTGTTGTTTACAATCGACCCATATTCGAATATCATAGGGATGTTTGATATCCCTATTAATCAAACATGTAGATGGTAAGTGATCATGCAACCACAAAACAAGTTCATCGAAACCGGATGAAAATTCCTTTCCATTCCACCTGTCATTTTTGCATCTGGTGATTAAAGTTCGAAGATTAACTATATTTTTAGTAAGATCAAGAATAACCGTTTCATTTTCAACGTCAATTACAAGAACTTCACATTGACGTCCAAGCGATGAATTGACTAAGGCTATACATTCTTTATCGTTAAAAAACCGACTATCAGATCCATTTTTTTCTATCAACTCAAGTCGACGAATTGATGTACTTCTAATTTGAAATAATTCCCTGCGTAGATTAGTCAATTTACTTAGACCTAACGAATAAAGATGAGCTGATCGATCAAGTAAATGCTGCAATTGAGAATAATCAAATTGATCATTTAGGGATATATAAAGTTTAGTTAATTGATTTAATAATGGATAAACAGATAAAATATTATTATTAAAGAGAAATGTTAAATTGAGATGATAAACATTAGGAAACTCACCACGAAATGAGATCGAGTCCTTTACTAAATTCAATCTATTATTAACATATTTAACTGTATGTACACGATCATACGACCAAAAATCTACTACATTAGGACAAGTTGATTTTGAGCAAGTATTATCATAATAAGAAAACTTTTCAAATGCATATGGTAACGTATAAATCGTAGCGTCACTTATTGTAGCTGATGAAATCCAATCACATTGAACATATTGTTGTCTTATTTCAATCCAATATTGAGTACTAAATGAATTAATTAATATATCAACTTCTTCTTCTTGATTATTAATATGTTTAAAATTAAAATTCATTTTAAATCGAAATCGTTTAATTTGTGGTAAAGCGTCCGTAAGAAAACTTTCCCATTCATATCCATTCAAATAGATACCCGATGTTTCAAGTGTTAAGGAAGATAAATTTTTTAGATTCTGAAAAAGATATTTCATCGAATCAATTGAACCTAAATATATTAGTTTCAATGATATAATTGATGAAAAAATATTTTTTAATTCTTCTTGTCGGGAATTACATGAAATAGTTGTATGAAGTCGTCGAAGATTAGGCGTGCATTGAAATAAATAAGATAAATTGTTTAAATCACATTTAATATTTTTCATAACAAGATATTCAATTGATTGTGATATTATAGTACTTGCAATAAAAGCGTTATTAGACGAAGGAAAACAATCAAAATAACAATAGATAAGTTTTGATATACTCCAAATGTTGTTCATTAAGAGGAGCTTGCCTTTGTCGTCACAATAAATATAACATTTTATTATGTAAAGATGTGTCAAATGTTGAAGATGACGACATTGAGATATTATTTTATTTATTATGCCAATAGAAGAAATAGAATTAAGTGAAAGTGATTGTACATATTTGAATTGATCCAATGTATAACCATGGGACAAAAAAAATACAGGTAAATGAGACGTTTCATCATTATCGGAAAGATTAAGCGAAATTATTCGATCAATAATCATTGGAAGATAATGTTTACAGATATATTCAAAATCATACTTCGATATTGATTGAAAATTAAGATGATAGTGTCGAAAATGCATAAAGAGTAATTTGTTAAAACGGCTATTAAGACCATCAAAGGCATGGAGTAGATGAATTAAGTTAAAATATTCGAATAAATCTAATAATAATTCGTTTGGCAAGTCTTTGAACTTCATCTCCCTTTTTCAGTTATAATAGAATGACGTAGGTGAGTTGTCGATTTGTTTTTTTCATAAATGAAAGAAAAAAATGTGTCACGTTCTTTTTTCTTATAGATTATTTTACAATGAGTCATTCATTGTTATGTCAACAAAGAATTTTTTCTATAGCTATGACTCATAATGTTACCTCAGTTAATATCTTAATTTTTCAAAAGAAGAGGATTTGGGTGTGGATATAGATGAATATGAGTATGTATTTCATACTACCATTCGCCTAATATTCTTTATGCGACAGCTTGCTATCAAGTTTATTTTCACTAGCTTTTTATTAGTAAATAGTAAGACCAGTATAGATAGTTATTAGCAGTTGCTCTTTTAGTTTCTCCACTTTTCCACAGTTGTTTCATAATGGTATGTTTATTTTATCATTGCTAAGATAAGCTCATCAGCAAAGCCATTCTCATCGCCTTGAGATTCTAGTAGAAATGTGCTCTCAGTTGAAGAGATTTTCTTTTTTGATTGAATTTTTGAAAACTAATAACTTTTTAATAACTATTTTTTTAGTCGATTACACAGATTATTTGAGATAGTAGACACCATAGAGAATTTAAGCTTATTCTAACCAGTTCATACTCATGGGTCCGATTTTATAAATAACCACCGTCTACTTCTTTCCACTTCATTAAAGTGTTTCGAAAAGCGTCCACTACTTTTAACCAAATAAGAGCATACAACGTGTCATCTGGTTTCAAACTGAATTTTGAACACTAAATAAAATTTGAATTCATATTCAATGCCTCTTCATATAACAACTAAGAACTCTAAAGAGACGCTAAAGTTTATAGTAACAGTATCCTTTTAGGAGGTAAGTGAAACTTAAGGCATATGTCGATCAAAAGTGCACTTTTCTAAAGTGAGGGCACTTTTTCTACATCATCATACCTACCAAAAATGTGTATAGGATATGGCACATGGCTTCATTGGATAGAATTCATAAGTCTCCTAAGTGAAAGTCTGCAAGATCGTAGAGATAGTTTTTTACCAAGAATGAAATTATACTAGACTACTCGTTTTGATATTTATTTATTTTTACTACTATAAATCTAAAAAAAAGTAGCAATCTTTCTACAAATGATTATGATAACATTTTTACTGATGCTGTAACAGATATGATTTTACTCGTTATACATTAGTTATGATTGTTTTACTATATTTTCTTTTTATAAAATATTTGGTTTTTATCATTATCAACGCAGTAAAATATGTACAATAGTTGCTAAAAATAGTAAAAATAAATATTAAAATTTAGAATTAATTTCAAAAGTATCCTAGAACTATCTTTAAAAATAGAAATCATAATCTTGGGTGGGTGTGGGTGTAGGTGTGGGTGTGGGTGTGGGTGTCGGTGTGGGTGTGCGTGTGGGTGTGGGTGTGGGTGTGGGTGTGGGGTGTGGGTGTGGGTGTGGGGTGTGGGGTGTGGGTGTGGGGTGTGGGTGTTGGTGTTGGTGATGAAAGCAGAATTACATAGGCTCACACCAATACTCCCGCCCACACTCACACTCACACCCACATCTACATTCATAACCACACCCACACCCTCACCCATACACTCACAGTCTTCATCCACACCCCACAACCACAACCACACCCTCGCCCACACACCCACGCCCGCACCCACACCCTCACCAACACCCTAATAAAATTGACTATATTAATTAAAAAGATAAACTTAAAGAAAAAAGGAAAATATTTTAATAATTGAATCATTCAAATGTAGAGTAAATTCTTTTTTTTTCTTTGTTTTTAACAAGTTAAGCTTATCTGAAAGAAAAAAGACATTTGTTACTTTGTCACTTTAAAAAAACAGTTGATAAAGAAGAGTGTGTGATAATGGTAAGAAAAAAAAACGTGTTTGATAAAAGAAATATATTATCTATGCTGTTGCTGTGAGATTAATTTGAATCTTGCTAATTAAATTTTAAGTTTTTATTCATCTTAAATGCTATGTTCTATTTTCTTCAAGAGTGAATTAACAGATTTGGGTGTTTGTGTAAAAAATGCACGGAAAAATTATGGTCATTGGTGGAAATCAATAACAGTTTTACGTGATATAAATATTACTGTTCCAACAGGAATAATGTATGCTATTTAATTATGAAAATACAATGATAAATATTAAAATCTAGATATGGTTTATTGGGTCCATCAGGATGCGGAAAAACAACTCTTTTACGATGCATTGCTGGCCGTTTAGAATTAAATCGAGGAGAATTGTATTAGGTAAACGACCAGGTAGCCATGGACATGAAGTTCCTGGTCGCTCAGTTGGTTATATGCCACAAGAAACAGCACTTTATAAGAATTTTTCAATATCAGAAATGCTTCATCATTTTGGTCCTCTTCATAATATGAGTCGAAAAGATATTTTGTAGCTCGCGAAGAGTTTCTTATTTCATTTCTTGATTTACCCTCAAGATCAAGAAATGTTTCACAATTAAGGTTTAATTGAATATTTATTTTATTCAATAAAAGATTGTTATGTTTTTTTTTGTTAAAGTGGTGGTCAACAACGTTGTGTATCATTAGCATGTGCTCTTCTTCAGCAACCTCAATTATTAATTCTTGATGAACCAACTGTTGGAGTTGATCCTTTACTTCGAGAAAAGTTTTTACATTGATATATTTAATCGTTTTATTATTTTATTTTATTTTATTTCATTTTAAAGAATCTGACGTCATCTTATAAATATATCAAAAACAAATAAAACAACAAACATAATAACAACTCATTATATCGAAGAAGCAAGAAAAGCTGATCGCGTAGAAAGCTTTATTTTATTTTATTTGGAATTATAATTGTATAACAATACTATTTAGGTTGGACTTATGCGAAGTGGAAGAATGTTAGCGGAGAATGAACCATCTAGTATTCTGAACAAATATAATCAAACAGTTTGTTCTTATTTTTTATTAAAATAATTCAAGTAAGTCAAAAAAATACTTTCTTTTAGAGTTTAGAAAATGTTTTTCTTCAATTATGTTATCTGATCAAAATCGAATTCAGAAACACGTTTCAATGAATCGAACCGACGGCGATAAAGATACTGATATACCCAATGAAATTGACAATGAAGAAGAACCTTCTATCTCTCTTGATGTATCAAACTGTAGCAATGAACGAGAACTTCTGATACCGAAAAAGCAGAAAAGAAAATTTAAAAAAAAATCGTAAGTTTCGATTGAGAAATAAAATAAATTTATTAAGCATTGATAAGTGCAAAACAAGTTGCAGCTGATTATTTCGTATTTCCTCATACGCATAAAATTTACGCATTAAGGATGAAAGATTTTACAGTCATTAAAAGAAATATCGGGTAATTCTTTTTCCTAGCATTTCTTTTATTGATTAATGTTGCTGTGTTATTAGTTTATTGTTGTTTCAATTTTTAATTCCTGTTGTTCAAGTGTCAGTTTTTTTATTGGTCGTAAGCTAATTTAATATTTTATTGAATTAAAATTGTTATTAAAATGATATTTAGGTAATGCTGAACATATCCCAATGGCACTTTATAATAGTGAAGCAGTAAATGGATTTTCAACAGGATATTTAAGTTTACAAATTATAAATAAATTAAATCTCGATCAAATTCATTTAATATGTTGAAATATTTGTCTTTTTTAATTAAAATTTATTTTATTTTAACAATGAAGACATCATTTGATGATTTTGATAAAGCAATTGATCTTGTTAAACAAGGAAAATATTGGGGTGTTGCTGCTATTCCGTATAATTTTACACAAGCAATCAAAAATAAGCTCGCATTTTTTCTGTTTGATTTACATTTTATCTTAATTCAATTTTTGTTTTAAAGATTATCAGCATTTCAGACAGATCCAGCTACATTAAATGCATCATCACTTCATCTTTATCTTGATATGACGAGTAAGTCGACATTGTAGCAAGAATATCTGCAATAATAACATAATAAAAAAAGAATGAATGTGTACCAAATAATTGAATTAAATTATTTCTTTTGTATTTAAGATGCCTTGATTAAAAGTTCTGAGAACATCATTGACAATCCTTTTGATCACTCATATGTAATTCAATAGTTTTGCTTGTTCTTTACTCATATATATCTGAAAATTATCACAATATAATTTCTTCATATCCAAAATGTTAGCCGTTTCATTAGCTTCTATCATTTTTTGCTGTTGTCAGGCAATGTAGAGAAGATCAATACTCAAGAATTGTCAGATATTGTCCTTTTGAAAATGTTGCTTAAATGTCTACTTAACTTAGAACTTTTGTAAAAAAGTTTGTTAGTGCAACGTCTTTGGAACTGAAATGTGGAACTCACATTTCTTTAGTTTTATCATACCAATATAAAATACAGTGTAAAAATTCGAAAAAATGACTCTCTTTCTATAATTATCATTTGTCAGCAAAAACAGTCTCTTTTTTATTTCGAAAAGAAATTCGATGTTTTTGGTTACAGGCGCCTTATTTGGTGAAACTCATACACATTTTCGAAGAAAACTAGTCACTGCAAATCTTAGCGTGAGCTGTTGTAGCTCCCCATTCCTTTCCCTTCCCCTATTACAGATTTTAACAACCAAGATTACATAATGGATATTAATGACAGCATTATTTGCCATTTTATTCAATACTCATAATAATAGAAATGCTAAATTTAGAACAAGTAGAAAAATAAAAAATAATGACTGAGTAGCAATAATAAAAGTAAAATCTAGGACACTCGTAACAAACAAGAAAACGAAATTTCTTTTTGAAATATAGAAATAAAAAACACAACATTTGCTGATAATCGATTATCATGAGAAAAAACGATATCGACTTTTAGAGATTTTACATTGTGTATTTCGTATTAGTATAATAAAGCTGAAGAAGATATTTGGGTCAATGTCTGGCTCGGGTCAAGATTTCCATTTTACTATTGCTACTCACTCTTTATTTTTCATTTTCGTAATTTTTGTACTTTATCGTTTTTATTATTATGAATATTGAATTAATACTGCTGTAATATATATCCATTATTTAATCTTGGTTGTGAAACTTATATGAGTTCGACAAAATACTTAAAAACCAGAAGAAAAAACGTTGCAGTCATTTTTCGGAGGTGGAGATGAGTATTATGCATCAGAGATGTCCATGGCGGCACTGCCGCTGCCGCGGTGGCGGTGGCGACAGCGGCAGCATTTTTTTGGAGGACATTGAAAAACTGCATGAATTTAATAGAATTTCAGGGTTTACAAATGAAACACCCCAAGACTGAATGAATCTAATGGACTAGTACCAATATTTCTGGTCAAATATAGTTGCAGCAGTGAAATTAGAAACACTTTTTTGAAAACTGCCACGGCAGCTGCGCGGCGGCGACACGTTTATGTTACAATTCATCGCGGCAGCGGCAGATTTTCAGCCGCGATGAACATCTATGTCGTGCATAACCACTTATGAGATCTTGTTCATGTTGAGTCCTTTAAAAAATTCAAAATGAAATATTTGTCTTCTATATTAAGATCAACAAGTGTCATTAACAAGGCAAAATGCTATGGTAAATAGTACAGAACTATTTTTAGAAGAAGTTTTATCCAGTTATAAAATTGATCCATCAATAGTTGACCCTCCAGTAATACTAGAAACTCCTGTTTATGGGAGTCTTGTTCCATGATTTTTAAATTTTGCTGCACCACGAATGATGACATCAGTAATATTTTTTTTGGCAATTGGCTTAACAGCATTAATATTTGTTGTTGAAAAAAAAGAAGGCCTTTTAGAACGTAGTTGGATTGCTGGTGTTACAACAATTGAAGTTATGTTTGCTCATATTATTGTTAAATTTTTTATTCAAGCTATTCAAATTATCCTTTTACTTGTTTTTGCAGATTTTATTTTTAAAGTTTATTTTCAATTTTATTTTGTTATTTATTTATTTTACTTTTAAATTAAGGTTGAAATTAAAGGTTCAGTTTTCTTAGCAGCGGCATTAATTTTTCTAGAAGGACTTTGTGGAATGAGTTATGGTAAGTAAAGAATATGTTTCGTTGTTTTTTGAAATCGAATAAATTATTTATCTTTTCTAAAGGTCTTTTAATATCTTCACTATGTGAACAAGAAATCGAAGTTATGTAAGTTGCACTTGGAAGCATTTTCCCTGTTTTTCTTGCCTCAAGTTGGTTTTTTTTGGAACTTAATTATGGTTTTTTCTTCATGGATAAGTAATTCATACTTAAAGGTGTCATATGGCCACTTGAAGGAATGCCATCAGCAATGCGTTTTCTAAGTAATTTCAGTCCATTAACACATCCTATTGAGGCAATGCGGTGTACAGCTGCAAGAGGTATTCGATTTGTTTTTTTTTAATTTAAATCAATAGATAACTTGATATCATATTTAGGTTGGTCAATTTTTTATTTTAAAGTATGGTTTGATTTTGTTAATGTTAGCGCATGGAGTTTGGGATTTTTTATCATAGCTGCTATTCTATTTGCTCTTAGAAAATAAAAGTTCTTGTTCAGTGTGTTTATGGGTGTGGGTGTGGGTGTAGGTGGGAGTGTGAATTTCTTTGAATTTACATCCACCCACACCCACATCCACCCACACCCTCACCCACCCACATCCACACCCACACACACCACACCCTCACACCCACACCCTCAAGCTGGAATGAAGAATACTGTCAGGAAACCTAATACAGTGCTTTTGAACAAGCATCAGTCAAGCTTGACTTTGTTCTAAATATGTCATAGTCCATAGGAGAGAATACAGGCTTTATTCCTTACTCTAATTTATTAGAAAGTATCATTTTTTCGAGTTTTTGCAAATTCTCTGCGTCTATGAATTTTAAGGACAAGATTCTGAAAATTGTTGCATAGAGACAACTTTTTATGTTCTATCATCTAATGGGAAAATCAAAACTTTCATCTCATATTTTCTGAAAACAATGATATCCGATTTTCGGGGACCATTTTTTCGAGAAAACCGACTTTTCAGTCTAGCCTATCGGGCTTAGCGCATGATCCCATTCGAAACAAACTCAGATTTACTGAATGAGTCTGTAAGTACTACAAAACTAGCATGCTTACACTTTGTCGACAGAAAGTTGGTGTGAGAGTGGACGGACCGGCGTGAAAGCATTCAGGACGATTAATAGTACCTTCATAGTTCAAGAACCCGTATGATATATTTTTGTAGCCGGGTACAATTATTGTAGAAACCTTTGCGTTGTCCAATGTACAGCAATGGTAGTTTTGTTACAGTGCTTTCTACGTACCATCCTATTGCGGCAATGATGCCGATTACAGATGCAGTAAGTTCGATCTTATGTACTGCCATTGTATAATAGCCACCTAGAGTATCTTGTTTTGAGTACCAAATAGCGGTCCACAAATAAAGTGTTGCTAGAATTATATTCAAGTATTCAGGTATCATTATAATATCAACTGGCGATCGATTATACCAAGCCCAAAAATAGAGAAAGCCCATGATTCGATTAACAATGGCCAAGGCTATGGAAAGAAAAACATTCATAACATCAGTATAGTCAGCATCAGATTAGAACATTAATGATTGGCATTCGTTCTGTTTTTGTGTTCTGTTTCTGATTGGTTGTACTCGATGTCAAACTCAATTCTTCATTGAATGGCGCTATTTTTGAAGTTCATTACCAGATAAAAGCTATCTACTCGTAGCCAAATAAAGAAATTTCAGAGTCATCTATGGGAAGTTTCTCATGTCTAAATTTGTCATACTGTCTCACATATGCTTACCCCACTTCCAGGATGGCATAACACTACTTCTTTTAGGCAGTCATGGTACTTATTCTATTCTGAATTGTTGTAGTATACCTGTAGTTATTTTAAATGACTGTATTCGATCGAAAACTGAACTCTTCATAGAATAACTAGCGTCGGGCTGGGTAAAAGTCAGTCGTTAGACCACATCCACCCTTTATTTGATGCTGGGCGAAGATTTTCAAAAGTAAGCCTCTTTGATGCATAAGCAAATTTTATACCGCTGGCAATCTTTCAGGAAGACAACGCAATCTGTATGACGAATCTGATCGTGTAATATAGCTGATAGAATCCAAACAAGTATTCGGCTACAAAGTGATAATTGTTGTTCAATGGTACCGTCTGAAAATTGCAGTCTTCAATATGAGAGTCGCAATTTGTATCTAATAGCATCGATTAAAGACATAGTAAAAACGACAGGACGAATCAGGAGCGAAAAGATGCGAATCTGAGGCTAACTTTACTGACGTAACATTCGTATGATAATAGTCAAAATTGAGGAATATATAATTATTGATTGAAACACAAATCAGTGTCAGAATTTACCAATAGAAAGTTGATTCGCATATGGATTATTTTGTATCGGTCGATCGAGAATAGACATTCGTACTGTGCTGATATTCGAACCATTTCTAGCATTCTCGTTTCACGTATTGTTGGGTAATGTGTCGAAATTGTCATTGAGGTCAAGTGCTAAAAGCACTACTGAATAGACGACATAAATGCAGTTCGACAACATAAATCGATTACGCAGTGTCTTTTTCATACACAAAGGCCAACGTGCTTTTATCTGCCCCCATTGTAATGCTTCTACAATAGAATCAAAAGGTTCCAGCTAATAAAAGA